AAAAAAAAAAAAAAAAAAAAAAACACACCACAAAGAATAGCAGTAGCCAGCTACAAATTCTGCGTAGCTGATTATTTAGACTGAAATGGGCGAAGCGGCAGCATCGTAAGGGACCTGCTGGCAGGGACCGGCATCAGAGCACAGATCTACACAGTCATAGAAAGTATAAAAGGTTCCTTTTTTTCCTTTTTTTTGCAGCAGTCAAAATACTGACATTTCAAAGTAATTGTGAGTTTTACATCATTAAAACCATGGAAGATAGACGTCATGGACCCGGTGGGGAAACGAAAGTCGTCTCGCTACAAAAAAAAAAAAAAAAAAAGGAGACAGAGTCTTTTTTGGGAGACATTCTCTTCATTTGATGCAGAATTTGACATTTGCCTTTAACTCTGACAGTTGCAGTGATATATTGTGCCAAGTCTCTCACACCTAAAGGGAACTTAAAAAAAAAAGGGGGGGGGGGGGATAAAAGCAAGCTTGGGTACCCACAGCATGATTTTACAGGTTTATGAGTATTAAAGTTCAGCTCGTTATGGGGCACAGGCCACCTACAATCAGATCCTTCCTCCCTATATCACAATGTAGCCAATAAAATAAAAAACCAAGACACCTGGAATATAGGAGAATCAGGACAGTAAATGGCACAATATCATATATATTTATAATATACTCAGCTTCAAATAAGTCCTTCAGTATGTCTTTTTGTATGGAGCACTTTTGAAGAATTTGTAGAGGAAAAAAAAAATCCAAATGCCTTCAGTTATGCAGACATCTTGACGCTTAAGATGGAGAGAATTTTTTGGCCTGCGCACGAACCCTTTTTTCATATTCTACTCTGTTTTGGCTGAAATGGACAAAAACAGGAGTTAGATCACTTATCGGAGAACAAGATGCTGCAAGACTTCCACACAAGGTTTAGTTTTTACCCATCTGCACTGCCACCTATTGTCCAGAGGTCAGAGGAACAGTTACAACAAAACAGGACTGGTGATAATGGTCATCTATCAGTGATTACTTATAGGTGTACTTTATTAAGCCAAAACGCAACAAACTGCTGGAACAGCTGAAGCAATTTACGCAGAGAGTAGGTGACACACTCACCAGTAAATTGTATACGCCTCTGCTTGAGCGGGGTCCTGGATATTCGGCTCGTTCAGAAGTTCCTGTATTCCTAACAGAATCTTAAGAGAGGGAAGGAAGAAAGATTAAAGATTACTAGCAGACACACATCCAAAGGAGTAGTTTCATGTTGGTCTTGTACTGAAAGCAGCAAAGACTTTCTCCTCTACCTTCAAGCAACACCTCAAGACCCATCTCTTTCAAGAATTCCTCTACTAGCCAGATACCTCTCTGTGTTTGCTGGATGTTGGTAATGTTGCATTTCTGGCCCCTTAATTCTTATTAGGGCCTTACTTTGTTGAAGATGTTGTGCAACCCCTGCTCCTATTCCACTTCACTTGTAACTGGGCATTCATTGGAAGCACAGCCTAGTGCCATTTATGCATAGATGACTCGGACTGCACGTGTTTGTAATGTGTCATTTGCCCCATTTAAACATCTCTTTGAATATGAGTCTATTAGATAAAATAAACAAATGTAATTCCCCACAGGGATTTAGACAAACAACCTTACGGTTTCAGGTCTGTTCTGACCCCCATGCAATTCACTGCACAGAATAGTTTTCCTCACCTGAGATCACAGATCTGTTAAAAAAATTAGCATAGCTATGCTTACATCAATAACGCAACATTTACAATAACATGTGCTATGCAAGTCACAATGAACGGTCCTCTATTTGCAGCCATGAATAGCAGACAACCGGGCTGCAGAAATCCACCACTGGGAAACCCCATCAGACCTTTTCAATTACGTCAACAGATAGAAGAGAAAATATATCCAAGCCATCAGGCCCCCAGCCACAGCATTTGCAAGGGCAGAAATCGACCAAGGTTACAATGATGGGGACCAGGGTCCATCCACCACACCTGCTTTATTGTGATGGCAGGCCTCCAGTCTTTGTCTTCCTCCAAGATGGAAAGGCAGACTGTGCCGGATGGATACACGTTGGGATGAAACAGGGGAGGTTCAAATTTACCTAGAAGGACAGAAAGGGCCACCACAGTTCAGAACATCCAAGAGAAAAACATAGGGGGCATAGATATGGAGGAAGGAGAGCGGGACGTACACTTTGGAGGAGATGAGGGGTAGTCGTCCTTAAACAGCATCCGGAGTTTAAACAGCCCCCCTTCCCAAGGGGTCTGGAGAAACAGGAGGAATAGAAGCTCATGAAACATTATCAGATGTACAGAAGTTCAAACTCTTCAATCCTGGCACTAATCGCTTGCTTTCATGCCCCAATGTGGGATACCCAGCAATGCAAATCAACTTAAACACTTCTTTAGTTAAACCAAGTATCATACATTTGCAGTGCATCACACATTCTGCCTGTTTACTACCAGGTATAATGTTACAGTTTTTAAACTGATGAAAAAGCATGACGATTTGCAGAAAGTGAGCATAACATCCAGATGTAATCTGAGCAAGTAAAAACTGGATTTTTCTCCTGTGTCAGTTAAATGCCACTTTCAAACAGTGGGATTTAACATCAAATTAGATGTCTGACACTACATGCTAAATGCTAATATGAAAGCTGAACCTGCAACCTGTGCGGTTCCTCCTTCAATCAGAAAAAGGACACTCCTCCAGTGTCAGTCATACTGCGTGACGTAGTACTGGATGCAGAGTCATGTTGCCCTGGTGTACCTTTATACGTACTGTATACTCGCATCGATTCAGGTCACAAAGGCTGATATGTGATCCTGTTGCTTACCCCTTTCTTCCCAGGAATAGCACACTCCCAGTTCATCAGGTTCATGGTTCCATCAGGATTCTTTGTTGGTACCGCCACAAAACCCTATGAAAGGGATGCCACTTTAGACGCTAAATCCAACTACTCATGTAGCACAGGTTCACTGGGCGGCTGCTGGAGACTATCCCACGCAACACAGAAAAAGGCAGAAGACATTCTGAACACACACACACACACACACACACACACACACACACACAGCTACTCGGAGAGGACAATTCACCTAAATACATGTCTTTGGGTCCCAAATAAATAGCTGAAACCCTCACAACTTAGGAAAAACATGTAAAATTGCCAATCACAGACATGTACACTATACCGACAGAATGAGGGACTTCAAAGGGGCTTTGTTAGGGGGCATGTAGATGAAAGAACTTGACAGTTCACTTCAAGCACAAAAATATCCAACTCAAGCATCTTCCAAATGAAAAAGCCCCTCATCATCAGCTACTTACAAAAGGGTGGTCCTTTCGCCAGGCCTTCCTCTCCTGGGCAAGTCTGCTCAAAGCTATACCAGACATGACGCGTAGTTCTCCTGGAAGCAGGAGGACTCCATTAAAGCCAGACACACATGTGGAGAAACTCAAATCACTTGGCAAAGAAGTGCACATCCAATAAATAAATAAAAAAAATTATTGTGTCTATACACAAAACAGAAAGCGACAATTACAGAAAATAACCAAAAGGACAGGAGGGGAAAGGGAAAGGAAAAAAACTCTACTCAGTTAATTGAAGCTTAATGTTTAATATTTAAAGATCCTTAATATCATTCATAAAGCCATGTTGCTTGCTAGTTTCCATAGAAGTGAATTTTGGAAGTCAGATTCTTCTACAACACAGTCAACTTTCCTCAGTAATATACAAAACATGGTACACCCCAAATTTCTATAGAGAAACCTACAAAGGCATCGGGAAACAGTTACATAAAATTTCCCGTGGAGGTCTTGTAAATGCATTTAGAACATTGCATGACGATACAACAGAATAACCAATCGGCTCAAAACTGCATCAAACTTCGACTCCACTCGAGGACCAAAATATCAGTATTAAAACCTACACACAGAGCTAGGAAATCAGCATGACACCAAAAGAAACCCATGTTGAACTTTAAAGGAATTAAGTTCATACAGTGAATACTCTGTATCAATTAAAATTAGCATAGCATTCATCTTCCCCTGCTATGTCACGATGTCACATATGCAGAAGACACATTTCATTGTTGTGTACTGTGTGCTGTGTTGTGAAAAATGAACACCGATCACTAAATTCTAATACAATACTACACGTCATACTGGGTAAGAGATCAAGATAGTCATATGCTCAGTTTTCAAGTAGCAGTCAGTCCACTCCTTTTACAACATTCTGCCCTTGAAAAACCCCTCCATACCCCATTATAAAGCTAGATACTCACTTGGTTCAGCAATAAAGTCAGACACGGCAGTTCGGAGTCAGCAACCTTACCAGAACATTGTATACTACTGGAACTATGACTATTTACAACGTATTACAAAGACATGCATAAATTGCAACAATTCATAATTAAAGATTCTAAAGATGTCAATTAAAAAAAAAAAAAAAAACACGAATACCTTTTAGTACCACTATTATATCTATTTAGAGCTGGTCTACTCAACTGGGACAATCACATGCAAACTTTTGTGCTAACGATTTCAATGAAGACTGCTTAAAATTACCGCTGCAATGTTTTTTTTTTTTTTTAAACTAATACATATACATATCCACACGTAAAGAATACAAACATCCCATAATACACTGCAGCACCTACGCAAAAAAACCCCACTACTATCATAACTGTTAGTTATACCGTTATAACGGTTAATCGTTTTATTAATGATACCTACCCAGAGCACCATACTTCCCGCATTAGAAATGAAGATGCCAGGCATTAAAATGTATCAATGTCTCCAAACTGAATTGCTGTCTGACAAAAACTAATTAGAATGTCAACCATAAACTACCCCCAAAACTAAATGCCAGAATGAAAAGAAAGGCTGTCTTTATATACTTTATGTTATGTTTTAGTATACAAACACCCAACACCTGTACATTAAACCCATGTAGATCTCTAAACAGCCATCTAAAGAGCCATTTATTATTGTTATAAAATTAAATCCCCATAGTACAACCTCCAGGTAGTGTAAAACTAGACATATCCCATACCTTCATTCAAAGAAAATGCTAGGAGAGGTATGTGTAACAATCAGGTAAAGATTATGACGGAACAGA